TTTTTTGTTTTGTGATTTTTTGGATTTTAGGGATATTTTCGATTTTTTTTTCTTTTCTTGAGTTTCTTTGGTTTCTTGGGTTTCTAGAATTTCTTAAATTCTTTAATTTTTTGTAATTTTTCGTTTTTTGGATTTTTTCCGATTTATCATATTCTTTGGATTTTTTGTTTTTTCTTTTGTATTTTTTGGATTAAGTAAAAAAAGGCTGATTAGTTCACAGAATAAACGAAAATACTAGCGTTTAGAAGGCATCACAGTTGGTAAAATTTTATAAATAGCTGTAGTTTATAGTTATTTAAGTACCAAGGGTATTATGAAGTAGTTAACAGATCGCCCGAGGGCATAAACTTCAAATAATACCCCTGATACATACAACATTTTATGTGTTGCCATTTAGTGTTTGATATTTTCTTTCTTTTATTAGTTGCACTTACTCCAGAGGAACTAATTTATTGCCACGGATTTTTGGATTTTATTTATTTTTCGATTTTTCCAATTTTTTGGATATATTTGACTTTTGGAAGTTTTTGAATTTCTGGAATCATTGAATTACTTAAATTTCTTGGGTTTTTAAATTTCTTCGTTTTTTGGGGCTTTTGGATTTTTTGATTTTTCTTTTAATTTATATTTTCCATTTTTTCGCTTTTTGTATCACTTTTTTTTGTTTTCTGATTTTTTGGATTTTCGGGATATTTTAGATTTTTTGGATTTTTGTAAGTATTACGTTACAGTTCCTAAGTTTGAGTTTCTTGGGTTTCTAAAATTTTTTAAATTCTTTGACTTTTTGTAATTTTTCGTTTTTTGGACTTTTCCGATTTATTAGATTCTTTGGATTTTTTGGATCAAGTAAAAAAAGATGATTAGTTCACAGAATAAATGAAAATACTAGCGTTTAGAAGGCATATCTGTTGGTAAAATTTTATAAATAGCTGTAGTTTATAGTTATTTAAGTACCAAGGGTATTATGAAGTGGTTAACAGGTCGCCCGAGGGTATAAACTTCAAATAATACCCGTGAAACAGAAAATTTTATGTCTTACCGTTTAGATTTTGATATTTTCTTTCTTTTATTAGTTGCATTTACTCCACAAGTAACTAATTTTTTTCCTCGAATTTTTGTAATTTATTTATTTTTCTATTTTTTCATTTTTTTGATTTTTAAAATTTTTTTGATATATGTATTCGATTTTTGGAATTTGGGAATTTCTGGAATCATTGGATGCCTTGAGTTTCTTAGGTTTTTGGATTTCTCAGTTTCTTGGGGCTTTTGGATTTTTTGATTTTTTTTATTTACATATTCCATTTTTTTGATTTTTGAATATTTTTTTTTGTTTCCTGATTTTCGAGACGTTTTCAATTTCTAGATTTTTTGATGTATTGCAATTGTCGCAATTCTTGAGTTTCTTTGAGTTTATTGGATTTCTAGAATATTTTAAATTCTTTGATTTTTTGTATTTTTTCGTTTTTTGAATTTTTCCGACGTATCAGATTCTTTGGAATTTTGTTTTTTTTTTGTATTTTTAGGATTAAGTAAAAAAAGGGTAATTAATTCACAGAATAAAAGAAAATACTAGAGTTTAGAAGGCATAACAGTTGGTAAAATTTTATAAATAGCTGTAGTTTATAGTTATTTAAGTACCGAGGGTCTTATGAAATAGTTAACAGGTCGCCCGAGGGTATAAACTTCAAATAATACCCGTGATACATACCAAATTTTATTTCTTTGTTTTATTAGTTGCATTTACTCCAGAGGAACTAATTTATTTCCTCGGATTTTTGGAATTTATTTATTTTTCTATTTTTTTAATTTTTTGATTTTTTAATTTTTTAATTTTTTTGGATATATTCGATTTTTGGAATTTTTTGAATTTATGGAATCATTGGATTACATACTTGAATTTCTTGGGTTTTTGGATTTCATCGTTTTTGGGGTTTTTGGATTTAATTTTTTTTTTTAATTTACGATTTTTGAATCACTGCTTTTTTTGTTTTCTGATTTTTTGGATTTTCGAGATATTTTCGATTTTTTGGATTTTTGAAGCATTACAATTCTTGAGTTTCTTTGAGTTTATTGGGTTTCTTCAATTTTTAATTTTTTTTATTTTTGTATTTGTTCGTTTTTTGGATTTTTCCGATTTGTCAGATTCTTTGCATTCTTTGGGTTTTTTTTTGTTTTTTTTTTTGGATTAAATAAAAAAAAGGGTCGCCCGAGGGTATAAACTTCAAATAATATCCGTGATACATACAAAATTTAATGTCTTACCGTCTAGTTTTCGATATTTTCTTTTTGTATTAGTTGTATTTACTCCAAAGGAACTAATTTATTTGCTCAGATTTTTGGAATTTATTTTTCTATTTTTTCATTTTTTGATTTTTAAAATTTTTTAGATACAATCGCGGCCAGAAAATCTTGGACGTCATTTTCCTGTCATTTTGAAAGTTTTGATGTAGTCCATGCTTTATTGTCATTTTGATATTTGAAGTTTAAAAGATTTGTATATTCGATTTTTCGAATTTTTTGAATTTCTGGAATCATTGAATTACTTGAGATTCTTGGGTTTTTGGACTTCTCCGTTTTTTGGGGCTTTTGGATTTTTTGATTTTTTTTTTTTTAATTTACATATTCCATTTTTTCGATTTTTGGATCACTTTTTTTTGTTTTGTGATTTTTTGGATTTTCGGGATATTTTCGATTGTTTGGATTTTTGAAGCATTATAGTTCTTAAGTTTCTTTAAAAAAATTTTGGAATCTCTTCTTGGGTTTTTGGATTTCTCGGTTTTTTTTGAATTTTTTTTTTGGAATCACACATTCCATTTTTTTTTTATTATTTGGATCACTTTTATTTTTTTTTGTTTTCTCATTTTTTGGATTTTTGGAAGTATTGCAGTTCTTGAGTTTGTTTGAGTTTCTTGGGTTTCTAGAATTTTTTGATAGTTGATAGTTCACCCGAGGGTATAAACTTGAAATAATATCCGTGATAGATAAAAAAATTTATGTCTGACCGTTTAATTTTTGATATTTACAAAAAAAGTCATCTTTGCACATTCTTTTATTAGTTACATTTTCTCCAGAGGAACTAATTTATTAATTTTTTGATTTTTTTTGTTTTTTTGATTTTTTTGGATATATTCAATTTTCGGATTCTCTTCTTGGGTTTTTGGATTTATCCGTTTTTTGATTTTTTTTAGAATTACATCTTCCATTTTTTTGATTAAGTATTTGGATCACTTTTATTTTTTTTGTTTCCTGATTTTTTGGATTTTCGAGATATTTTCGATATTTTTGGATTTTTGTAAGTATTGCAGTTCTTGAGTTTCTTTGAGTTTCTTGGGTTTCTAGATTTTTTTTAAATTCTTGATTTTTTGTATTTTTACATTTTTCGGATTTTTTCGATATTTCCGATTTATCAGATTCTTTGGATTTTGTGCGTTTTTTAGATTTTTTGAATTAAGTAAAAAAATGGTGATTAATTCACAGAGTAAATGAAATTAGTAGCGTTTAGAAGGCACAAAAGTTGGTAAATAGCTGTAGTTTATAGTTACTTATGTGTCAAGAGTAGGTATTATGAAGTAGTTGATAGTTCGCCCGAGGGTATAAACTTGAAATAATATCCGTGATAGATACAAAATTTTATGTCCGACCGTTTCATTTTTTATATTTACAAAAAAAAAGTCATCTTTGCACATTCTTTTATTAGTTACATTTTCTCCAGAGGAACTAATTTATTTATTTTTTCATTTTTTTGATTTTTTAAATTTTTTGGATATATTCCATTTTTAGAATCTCTTCTTGGGTTTTTGGATTTTTCCGTTTTTTGGATTTTTTTTAGAATTACATATTCTATTTTTTCGATTATTTGGATCACTTTTATTTTTTTTGTTTCCTGTTTTTTTTTTGGATTTTTGGAAATATTGCAGTTCTTGAGTTTCTTGGGTTTCTAGATTTTTTTAAATTCTTTGATTTTTTGTATTTTTTGGTTTTTTGGATTTTTTCGATTTATCAGATTCTTTGGATTTTTTGTATTAAGTGAAAAAAGGTGATTAGTTCACAGAATAAATGAAAGTAAAATTAGAAGGCATAAAAATTGGTAAATAGCTATTGTTTATAATTATTTATATATCAAGAGTATTATGAAGTAGTTGACAGTCGCCCGAGGGTATAAACTTCAAATAATACCTGTGATCGATACAAAATTGTATGTCTTATGTTGTGAAAAGAAGTCTACACATATTAAAACAATTGAAATGGGGCGGGTGGGCGGGGCTACATTTTGACTTTTTCTCTTAGTATGTGTAGACTTATTTCGACAACAAGTAACTTAAAACATGTCCAAATTGTTTCCATGTTTTTTTTTATGGATTTATTTCATTTTTTCGACTATATGGGTAATTTTTATTTTTTTATTTTGATTTTTTGAATTTTTGGAGTTTTTTTATTTATTGAATTTTTGGGATGATTGCAGTTCTTGAGTTTCTTTGAGTTCTTGGGTTCCTAGAATTTTGTAAATTCTTTGGAGTTTTTCAGTATTGTGGATTTTGCTAGGTAGCAGACAAAGATCGTGATTTGTTGACGTTACTATGGCAACTATTCTTAATGCCCTAGGGTATTACTAAGTCAAAAATGTATCTCAAATCTATGCCATTATAGACAAATGATAAACTGGTAAGACATAAAATATAAAAGAAAATGACACATTAAATGAGTTATTGACTGACTGATGGTTTTTTGCAGTATTACAAATTCGTTCTAAATTTTTGAAAATAAAAGGAACTGACAAGATCTGACATGACATCGCATGACTTGACCTGACCTGACCTGACTTGACTCAACTTATCCTGACCCCCAATTTATATCATTTTAATTTCACGTCGTTGTTGAACCAATACCATAGTCATTTGGTCGATAAATACGGTCGTCGCTCCTGATAAAACGAAATTCAGAGTACATTTATCGCAACAGATGTGCCTATTTGCGTACGTTTGAAGATCTCCGTTTTAAGCGATCTGTCGCAGCGACATCTAGTTCTCCCCTTTTAACGATCCGCATTCTTAAATTGGCAAGCTTGTCAAGTGACCCTCTCCGCCTGTCATTCTTGTCATCTGTCTTTACGTCAAGTGGTGGCCAGGTAAGAATTTAGAGGTTAATCGTGTTCGAAACGGCTCAAGTTTTCTCCAGTTTTACAATTAGGATAGCCCCCAAAATGACCACGTGTAGTGAGTACATCAAGACCGTTTTTCCGTCAATAGACGACGACCTGAAACACTACGTCGAAGGTTATAACCTTGCGGCAAACCCCCGACACTCTCTGAAACCTCTTTCTTGTAGGTGTTCTCGAGAACGGCGCCGATGATTTCCAAGACAGCGAAGAAGTGTACGATGCAATCGGCGAAGTACTTCAGGAAGTCTCCAGTGATAAAACAGAAGATGATATTCGGTGGGTTCAGTTTCATTGTATTGTGCAATAGTGGCTAATTGTGCGGATTTTAGAAATATTTGTAACGAATTGCTCAATATGCTTAAACCGGATAAAAGTAATTCGACGAAGAACGGTCCTACGAAAGTATTAAATGCGCCGGTTCATCTTGCGACGATGGCTGCAAACTTGGAGAATAATATTAGTGACATTAAAAGTATTTGGGTGATGCAGAGGGACGACACATTGGTAATAAATCGTCTCGGTGTTACCTAACCTAAACAAAAACCAATTCTAGAAAGTCGACGCCAAAAAACTAGAAAAAGCGGAAGCCAAGTTGCAAGAAAAACAAGAAAAAAGGTCGAAAGACGTGAAGACTGTGGCGCCTGTGAAACTCGAGACTGCGACGGCGTCGCAAGTTACCAGTAAAAAGGAGAGTAAGATGGAAGCCAAAGGGAACAACAGGACGCAAGACATCAGGATAGAAAACTTCGATGTCGCTTACGGCGATCGCATTCTTCTGCAAGGTGCTGACTTGAGTTTGGCGTTCGGGCGGCGATATGGATTAGTCGGGCGAAACGGTCTCGGCAAATCAACTCTTCTTCGTATGATTTCCAACGGCCAACTTCGCATACCGTCGCACATATCAATTTTACACGTCGAACAAGAAGTCATAGGGGATGATACTCTAGCTATAGAAAGCGTCTTACAATGTGATACAATCCGAGAAGGGTTGCTTCAGAAAGAAAGGGAAATCAGCGCGGCGATTAATTCGGGCTCAAATGATCCAGAACTGTCGAATCAGTTGACTGAGGTTTATGCGCAACTACAGAATATTGAAGCTGATAAAGCGCCGGCGAAAGCGTCGATTATTTTGAACGGGCTGGGGTTCACCCCGGAAATGCAACAAAAAGAGACTAAGACTTTCTCTGGAGGGTGGAGGATGAGGTTGGCTTTGGCGAGAGCGTTGTTCTCCAGACCGGATTTGTTGTTGTTGGATGAACCGACGAACATGTTGGATATTAAGGCGATTATTTGGTTGGAGAATTATTTGCAGAATTGGCCTACGACGTTGTTGGTAGTTTCGCACGACCGCAACTTTTTGGATACCGTGCCAACTGATATTTTGCATCTCCATACACAAAGGATAGATGCTTATAGGTAAGTAAGGTACAGGAGTCTCTCATTGCATAAATATTAATAACGTGTTTTCAGAGGAAATTACGACCAGTTTGAAAAAACAAAAACGGAAAAGCTTAAAAATCAGCAGAGGGAATATGATGCTCAAATGCAACACCGCCAACACGTTCAAGAATTTATCGATAGGTTTAGGTATAACGCAAATCGGGCTGCATCCGTACAGTCAAAAATTAAAATGCTAGAGAAACTGTAGGTATCATCAATATTGTGAAAATTCCACCTTTAATGCCGTCCTTTTTAGACCTGAACTAAAACCAGTAGAAAAGGAAACCAACGTCGTTCTTAAATTTCCAGACACGGAACCTCTATCCCCCCCCATTTTACAACTAAACGACGCCTCTTTCGCATACATCAAAAACAAACTTATTTTTAGTAATGTTAATCTTGGTGCTACCATGGATTCGCGGATTTGTATTGCAAGTTTTCCGCCTAATGAATTTTCGTGGTGATGACTGAATCAATATTTTTCAGGTGGGTGATAATGGCGCCGGTAAAACCACCATCTTGAAAATTATAATGGGGATTTTATCGCCGACAGCTGGGATGCGTCATGTTCACAGGAATTTGAAGTTTGGGTATTTTAGTCAACACCATGTGGACCAACTTGATATGAATGTTAATTCCGTTGAGTTGTTACAGAGTGCTTATCCAGGTATTTATCAGGTCGTGGTGTTAGTTAAACAAATATCGGTATCAAGGTTATCAGTGCTGATATGAAGTGCATGTGCATTATTTTAATTGTGATGACTTGGTATTACGTTGTATGTTTTATGTGGTATTTTTTAACTCGGGAACTAGATGGCGCTGTGCTGATTTGCATAACATCTGTGTTTGCGTACCTTTATGTAGGGGGGATGGGACCTGGTGAGACAGCGCCTGATATGCCGAAATTTTAATTTATTTAAAAAAAAATTATTTTACATTTGTAATGTTTAATTGACCATTTCAGGGTGTTGGCTATTTTTGATACTTTTTGAAAACATTTTTTTGCGGATTTAAAATTACGCGTATCCAAAAATATTAATTTTATTGTTTTCAATTTCTAAATTTATTAGATTTCTAAATGAGTTATCTTCGCAAAATTTAAGAACATATTTTCATTTCGATTGATTTTCACTATTTTTGAAAAAAGAAGAAATTTCCCGAGTTCTACACTAAAATTTTGGAAAGGGAAAATGTGTTAAATTTTCACACTTCCAGGAAATACATTGTTTTCTAATTCCGTAAATTTTTTAAAATTCGTAATTTTATTTCAAGGTTTTCCAGTTGGACAATTTCAGATTTTCAGAAAACCCTTATTTTGGAGTGTCACTTCACTAGAACATTCCGATTGTGTTAATTAACTTTTCTTGACGTTTCATTACCCCTAAAGTACGAAAAAATAGGTCCCCATTTCTCTTTTTTTTGCAAAAAAATCAAAATTGTTGATTTATAGCAATTTTATGGCTTTCCGATTTTTCAATTGTCGCTTTCTTAATTTTGCCATATTTCAGTTTGGAATTTTTCAGTTTTTTCATTCTTCAGTTTTTCGGGTTTTCAGTTTCTCGATTTTCAAATTTTCGATTTCTATTTTTTCATTTTTCGATTTTTGAGTTTTCAAAAATTTCAGTTTTACGTTTTTCAATTTGTCGATTCTATAATTTTCCTATTTTTAATTTTATCGATGTTTCAACCTTTCAACTTATTACGTTTTTACATTATCGATTTTTTGATTTCTTGACTTCTCGATTTTTCGATTTTTCAATTTTTTAATTCTTCACATTTTCGATTTTTCAGGTTTTTGATTTTTCACTTGTTCGATTTTTAAAATTTTTGTTTTTTCAACTTCGATTTCTCGACTTTTTCATTTTTCGACTTTTCGATTTTTCGAATTTCAGTTTTTTCATTTTTCAGTTTTCGCTTTTTCAATTTCTCGATTTTCAATTGTTCGATGACTCAATTTTTCGATTCCTGAAATTTTTGATTTCTATTTTTTTCATTTTTCGATTTCTCAGTTTTCCAAAATTTCAGTTTTAGGTTTTTTCAATTTGTCGATTCTTCAATTTTCCTATTTGTAAATTTTTCGATGTTTCGACTTATCTATTTTACACGTTTCTAAATTCCACAATTTTCAATTAATTAAATTATTGGTTTTTCGACTTTTTGATTTTTTGACTTCTCGATTTTTCAGGTTTTTGATTTTTCAATTGTTCGATTCTTTAAATTTTCGATTTTTCAACTTCGATCTCGACTTTTCGTTTCTTTAATTTGTCGTTTTGTCAATTTTTCAATGTTTCAGTTTTCGAGGTTTTTCAATTTTTCTATTTTTCGATGTTTCGATTTCTGAATTTTTCAGTTTTATGATTCAATTTTTCGAATTTTTAAATTTTAGAATTTTCAGATTTTTCGACTTCTCGGTTTTAGATTTTTCAGTTCTCTAATTTTTCAATTTTCAAAATTTTTTATTTTTCAATTTTTCGTTTTATCAATGTTTCGATTTCTCGATTTATCGAGATTTCGATGTTTCGATTTTTCTATTCTTTAATTTCTGGATTTTCCAATTTTTTTGTTTTCCGTTTTTAAAATTATTAGTTTTCGCAATTTTTCAATGTTTCAATTTTGGGTTTTTTAAATTTTTTCGATTCTTCGATTTTTCAATATTTCAGTTTTTGGGATTTTCCATTTGTCGAATCTTAAATTTTTCAATTTTTTGATTGTTAAATTTTCTAATTTTTCAATTTTCAAAATTTTTGATTTTTTAATTTTTCATTTTATAAATTTTTCGATTGTTCAGTTTCTCGATTTTTCAATTTTGCAATGTTTAACTGTTCGAATTTTCGATTTTGGGCGATTTCGAGGTCTCAATTTTTCCATTTTTCGATTTTTCGATTTCTCAGTTTTTCGATTTTTTCGTCATTTCAGTTTTGGAATTTTACAATTTTCCGATTTTCCAATTCACGCGTATCCAAAAATATTTATTTTGTTGTTTTCAATTTTCAAATTTATGAGATTTCTTGATTTTTCGATTTTTTGTTTTTTTAATTTTTAGTTTTCTCAATTTTTCAATATTTCAGTTTTTGGGATTTTTCAATTTTTCGATTTTTCTGTTTCGATTTCTCGATTTTTCAGTTTTGTGATTCTTCAATTTTTCGAATTTTTAAATTTTAGAATTTTCAAATATTTGATGTTTCGATTTCTAAATCTTTCGATTTTTCGACTTCTCGGTTTTAGATTTTTTAGTTCAATTTTTTTCAATTTTTTAATTTCTCGATTTTCCAATTTCTTTGATGTTTTTAAAATTTTTCGTTTTCACATATTTTCAATGTTTCAATTTTGGTTTTTTTTTAAATTTTTCGATTCTTCAATTATTCTTCAATATTTTAATGTTTGGGATTTTCCAATTTTTTAATGTTTCGATTTCTCGATTTTTCAGTTTGCTATTTTTTCAATTTTCAAAATTTGTGATTTTTCAATTTTTCATTTTATTAATTTTTCGATTATGTATTCAGTTTTTTGACTTTTCAATTTTCCTATTTTTCAATTTTTCGATCTTTCAATTTTTCGATCTTTCAATTTATCCATTTTTGACGTTTATAAATTTTCCAATTATCAATTAATTAAATTATTGGTTGTTCGACTTTTTGATTTATTGACTTCTCGATTTTACAGTTTTTTAATTCTTCACATTTTCGATTTTTCAGGTTTTTGATTTTTAAATTTTCGATTTTGCAATTGCGATTTCTCGATTTTTCGTTTTTTTTATTTTTGGTTTTCCGGATTTTTGAGTTTTCTAATTATTCAATTTTCAAGATTTTTGATTTGTCAATTTTTCATTTTATTAGTTTTTTGATTGTTCAGTTTCACAATTTTTCAATTTGTAACTTTTCGATTTTGGACCATTTAGATTTCTTAATTTTTCGATTTTTTGACTTATCGACTTTTCGATTTCTCAATCTTTTGATGCTTCCATTTTTCGACGTTTCGAATTTTCGATTTTTCGATTTTTAATTTCTCAATTTTCAGTTTTTCGATTACTCAATTTTTCGGTTTCAGTGTTGGGATTTTTCAATTTTTCGTTGTCTCGATCCTTCAAATTTTCGATTTCTATTTTTTATTTTTTGATATCTCAGTTTTCCATTGTTTCAGTTTTACGATTTTTCAATTTTTCGATTCCATTTGTTGGTGTTTCGACTTTGTTTTCTTGATTTCTCGATTTTTCGCTTGTTCAATTCCTCACATTTTCGACTTATCAGGTTTTGATTTTTCAGTTGTTCGATTTTTCAAATTTCGAATTTTTCAGTCTCGACTTTACAATTTTTCAATATTTCGTATCTTCAGTTTTTCAATTTTTGATTATTAAATTTTAGAGTTTTCAATTTTTCGATTTTTCGATTTATCTTTTTTTTTAATTTTAACTTTTCAATTTTGCAAGTTTTAACTGTTCGAATTTTCGATTTTGGGGTATTTCAAGGTCTCAATTTTTCGATTTTTCGACTTTTCGATTTCTCGATCTTTTGATGTTTCAGTTTTTCCATTTTTCGATGTTTCGATTTTTCCAAATTTCGGCTTTCGACTTTTCGTTTTATAATTTTTCAATGTTTCAATTTTGGATTTAAAAAATTTTTCGATTCAATTTTTCTTCAATTTATCAATATTTTTGGGATTTTCCAATATTTCGAGTCTTAAATTTTTCAATTTTTTGATTATTCTATTTTAGATTTTTCAATTTTTCGATTTTTTAATTTTTCGATTTCTCAATTTTTCAGTTTTCTAATTATTCAATTTTCAAAATTTGATATTTTTCAATTTTTCATTTCATTAATTTTTCGATTTTTCAGTTTCTCGATTTTTCAAGTTTCGATTTATCTTTTTCTTTTAATTTTAAACTTCTCAATGTTGCAATTTTTAACTGTTCAATTTTTCGACTTTTCGATTTCTCGATCTTTTGATGCTTCCATTTTTCGATGTTTCGAATTTTCGATTTTTCGGCTTTTCGACTTTTCGATTTTCCAATTTTTCGTCATTTCAGTTTTGTAATATTACAATTTTTCGATTCTTCAATTTTCCGCGATTTTTCAATTCACGCGTATCCAAAAATATTTGTTTTATTGTTTTCAATTTTCAAATTTACGACATTTCTAAATCAGTTAATTTTTGCAAAATTTAAATACATATCTTTCATTTCAACTGATTCGAAATGAAGGGATTTTTTTTTACAATTTTTGAAAAAAAAAAACAAGAAATTTGCCGAGTTCCACAACAAAATTTTGGAAAAGGAAAAGATCTTAAATTTTCACACTTCCAAGAAATACATTGTTTTCTAATTTCCCAAGTTTTTTAAAGTTTATAATTTTATTTAAAGATTTCCTAATTTGACGATTCAGTATTTCAAAAAGCGTTTTGAATTTTGAAAAAGAATTTTTGAAATGTCTGACTTTTGGCTTTTTTTATTTTATATTCGGAATGTTTAGTTGAACATTTGTCGGTGTTGGTGTTTTTTTTACTATTTTTGAAAAATTTGACAATTTATTTCGGTGTATTGTTTTTGAAGTAGTTTGAGAGAAACTCCGCCCCTGCCTTTACGCAGAGTTCATTTATATTTATGAAAATAAAAACTGTAATTTTTTTGTCTGCAAACAAGGTGAAAAATCTGGAACTATATTATGACTGATGACTGAGCTAGAGTGGAAATACTATGGCTTAGACCAGTGGCGTATCATTTGCGTTATAAAATGGGGGCATTCTAAAAAACATTGTTATAGTAACATGGCGAACACCGCTACTGATGCTACCAGTGCAGCTTCCTCCCCCTTAATTCGCAAGTAGACCCGTCCGGACACTTTTACGACTATTGCGACATCGTGATCTCAAAATATTGCTTTTATTCATTGAACGAATAAACCCCAAAAAATTAAAATTACACAACGGGTTTCTTTCTCAACATTTAAAGAAAAATGAGTGAAATCAGTGTCTAAATTGTCCTGTAGTTTTAACCACAGAATCGAAGAAAACAAAAAAACTAAAAAAATTTTTAGAAAAAATGCACTTTTTGTATTCGTTTTCTGCTCCATGTAGGAAAACCAATCGAAGAATACCGAAGACAGTTAGGTAGTTTCGGAATCTCAGGGGATTTGGCGTTGCAAACCGTCGCCAGTTTATCCGGAGGTCAAAAATCGCGGGTGGCTTTCGCCCGAATGTGCATGGGCCAACCCAACTTCTTGGTACTCGACGAACCCACCAACCACTTAGACATAGAAACCATCGAAGCACTAGGGAACGCTATCACCAAATACACGGTACGTGCAGTCGAAATATGGTCGAGTCCGTCTGCTGAAGTGTTCTTTCAGGGAGGGGTTATTTTAGTGTCACACGACGAACGCCTTATAAGAAAAATCTGCAAAGAGTTGTGGGTGTGCGCCAACGGCTCAGTCAGGAGTATAGAAGGCTTCGACGAGTATAGGAAAATTGTGGAACAGGAGCTGGAAGCAGCCCAGTCTAAATAATACTTTCTTTAAAATTATTAGGAAATTTATTTGTATAAATGTGCCTCCTTTTATGTGGAAAAATTACTATTTATGATTTTTGTTATATTTATAATATATTCATGTTTATAATGGTATTTAAAAATAAAAGTTCATATTTTGCGAGGGTGTTTCGTGGAATTTTCGGACACTTTTTTTTAAACTTATCGTTTATTAATAGAGTATTAAAATAGTACACAGAATATGTATTTTTATAAATAAGTGAGTATTCTGCAGACAATAAATTATCTATGAACGACGTATAAAAAACATTGCAGGATAAAATCTAGTACCTTAACGAGTCTTATCACTAATAATACTGTTGTCTTTACATTGTATCGTGTATAAAACCAACACCCTAACTAACACCGTTATATTTAATTTCTTTCTCATTTATCCTAAACCCGTCTACAAATTCTTTCGTGAAAACTTTTTCCTCTTCGTCGGGCAAAATCGTGGTGCCTTCGATCACACTTTCTTCGTCTGGCAGTATGAAAGTGTCTTCCACTACGACCTCCTCCTCATCTGAATCTGCCACCAAAATAGGGGTGGCTCCATCTAGTAGATTCGAACGACTCAAAGACCTCTGGTATATCTCTTTGGAAATGCTTCTGGTGAAAGAGAATCTTTTCGACTTTTGTCTGGTAAGATGTGGCCTTTCTTTCGTCGGACTCGCCATGCTGTGAGCAGCACACTATTTAATAATATCCCACGCTATAAGAATGTCCTCCTTTCTCGCATGCTCAGAGTTGCAAGTTACCAGTAAGAAAGAGAGTAAGATGGAAGCCAAAGGGAACAACAGGACGCAAGACATCAGGATAGAAAACTTCGATGTCGCTTACGGCTATCGCATTCTTCTGCAAGGTGCTGATTTGAGTTTGGCGTTCGGGCGGCGATATGGTTTAGTCGGGCGAAACGGTCTCGGCAAATCAACTCTTCTTCGTATGATTTCCAACGGCCAACTTCGCATACCGTCGCACATATCAATTTTACACGTCGAACAAGAAGTCATAGGGGATGATACTCTAGCTATAGAAAGCGTCTTACAATGTGATACAATCCGAGAAGGTTTGCTTCAGAAAGAAAGGGAAATCAGCGCGGCGATTAATTCGGGCTCAAATGATCCAGAACTGTCGAATCAATTAACTGAGGTTTATGCGCAACTACAGAATATTGAAGCTGATAAAGCGCCCGCGAAAGCGTCGATTATTTTGAACGGGCTGGGGTTCACCCCGGAAATGCAACAAAAAGAGACTAAGACTTTCTCTGGAGGGTGGAGGATGAGGTTGGCTTTGGCGAGGGCGTTGTTCTCCAGACCGGATTTGTTGTTGTTGGATGAACCGACGAACATGTTGGACATTAAGGCGATTATTTGGTTGAAGAATTATTTGCAGAATTGGCCTACGACGTTGTTGGTAGTTTCGCACGACCGCAACTTTTTGGATACGGTGCCAACTGATATTTTGCATCTCCACACACAAAGGATAGATGCCTATAGGTAAGTAAGGTATAGGTGGTCTTTAACTGCATAAATATTAATAACGTTCTCAGGGGAAATTACGACCAGTTTGAAAAAACGAAGACGGAAAAGCTTAAAAATCAACAGAGGGAATATGATGCTCAAATGCAACACCGCCAACACGTTCAAGAATTTATCGATAGGTTTAGGTATAACGCAAATCGGGCTGCATCCGTACAGTCAAAAATTAAAATGCTAGAGAAACTGTAGGTATCATCAATATTGTGAAAATTCCAATTTTAATACCGCAATTTTTAGACTTGAACTAAAACCAGTAGAAAAGGAAACCAACGTCGTTCTTAAATTTCCAGACACGGAACCTCTATCCCCCCCCATTTTACAACTAAACGACGCCTCTTTCGCATACATCAAAAACAAACTTATTTTTAGTAATGTTAATCTTGGTGCTACCATGGATTCGCGGATTTGTATTGCAAGTTTTCGGCCTAATGAATTTTCGTGGTGATGACTGAATCAATATTTTTCAGGTGGGTGATAATGGCGCCGGTAAAACTACAATCTTGAAAATTATAATGGGGATTTTATCGCCGACAGCTGGGATGCGTCATGTTCACAGAAATTTGAAGTTTGGGTATTTTAGTCAACACCATGTGGACCAACTTGATATGAATGTTAATTCCGTTGAGTTGTTACAGAGTGCTTATCCAGGTATTTATCAGGTCGTGGTGTTAGTTAAATAAACGTCGGTATCAAGGTTATCAGTACTGATATGAAGTGCATGTGCATTTAATTGTGATGATTTGGTATTACGTTGTGTTTTATGTGGTATTTTTTAACTCGGAAACTAGATGGCGCTGTGCTTGATTTGCATAACATCTGTGTTTGCGTACCTTTATGTAGGGGGGATGGGACCTGGTGAACCAGCGTCTGAAATGCCGAAATTTTAATTTATTTAAAAAAAAAATTATTTTACATTTGTAATGTTTAGTTGACCATTTTTTAATTAAAATTTCGAATATAAATTTACGCGTATTCAAAAATATTAATTTTATTGTTTTCAATTTCTAAACTTATATGATTTCTAACTCAGTTAATCTTCGCAAAATTTAAATACAAAAGTTTCATTTCGACTGATTGAAAATCAAGGATTTTTTTTTTCATTAATATTGAAAAAAAAAAGAAATGTACTGAGTTCCACACCAAAATTTTGGAAAGGGAAAAAGGTGTTAAATTTTCACACTTCCAGGAAATACATTGTTTTCTAATTTCGCATTTTTTTTAAAGTTCGTAATTTTATTTAAAGATTTTCCAATTTGACAAGTTCAGATTTTCAGAAAACCCTTATTTTGGAGTGTCACTTCACTACAACATTACGATTGTGATAATTAACTTGCGGCTGGCCACTGGCTACTTTCATGTTTTCTTGATGTTTCATTGCCCCTAATGTATGAAAAAATAGGTCCCCATTTTTTTTTTGCAAAAAAATCAAAATTGTTGATTTATAGCAATTTTTCGGCTTTTCGATTTTTCAATTTTCGATTTCTTAATTTTTGGATGTTTCAGTTTGGAATTTTTCAGTTTTTTCATTCTTCAGTTTTTCCGGTTTTCAATTTCTCGATTTTCAAATTTTCGATTTCTATTTTTTCATTTTTTGTTTTCTCAATTTTCCAAAATTTCAGATTCACGTTTTTCAATTTGTCGATTCTATAATTTTCCAATTTTTAAATTTATCGATGTTTCAACCTTTCAACTTATTACGTTTTTACATTTTCGACTTTTTGATTTCTTGACTTCTCGATTTTTCGATTTTTCACTTTTTTAATTCTTTACATTTTCGATTTTTCAGGTTTTTGATTTTTCAGTTCGATTCTTTAAATTTTCGCTTTTTCAACTTCGATCTCGACTTTTCGTTTTTTTAATTTTTCGTTTTCTCAATTTTTCAATGTTTCAGTTTTCGGGGTTTTTCAATTTTCTATTTTTCGATGTTTCGATTTCTGGATTTTTCAGTTTTATGATTCTTCAGTTTTCCGAATTTTTAAATTTTAGAATTTTCAGGTTTTTGATGTTTCGATTTTTCGACTTCTCGGTTTTAGATTTTTCAGTTCACTAATTTTTCAATTTTCAAAATTTTTGATTTTTCTATTTTTCGTTTTATCAGTGTTTCGATTTCTCGAATTACCGAGGTTTCGAAGTTTCGATTTTTCTATTTTTTAATTTTCGTTCCGTTTTTAAAATTTTTAGTTTTCGCAATTTTTCAATGTTTCAATTGTGGGTTGTTTAAATTTTTTCGATTCTTCTATTTTTCAATATTTCAGTTTTTGGGATTTTTCAATTTTTTTATTATTAAATTTTCTAATTTTTCAATTTTCAGAATTTTTGAATTTTCAATTTTTCCTTTTATACATTTTTCGATTGTTCAGGTTCTCGATTTTTCAATTTTGCAATGTTTAACTGTTCGAATTTTCGGTTTTGGGCTATTTCGAGGTCTCAATTTTTCCTTTTTTCGAGTTTTCGATTTCTCGGTTTTTCGATTTTTCAATTCACGCGCATCCAAAAATATTTATTTTATTGTTTTCAATTTTCAAATTTATGAGATTTCTCGTCTTTCCGATTTTTTGTTTTTTAATTTTTCGTTTTCTCAAGTTTTCAATATTTCAGTTTTTGAGATTTTTCGATTTTTCAGTTTTGATTCTTCAATTTTTCGAATTTTTAAATTTTAGAATTTTCAGATTTTTGATATTTCGATTTTTCGACTTCTCGGTTTTAGATTTTTCAGTTCACTTTTTTTCAATTTATTAATTTCTCGATTGTCCAATTTCTTCGATGTTTTTAAAATTTTTCGTTTTCTTATATTTTCAATGTTTTAATTTTGGGTTTTTTAAATTTTTCGATTCTTCAATTTTTCTTCAATATTTCAATCTTGGGATTTTTCAATATTTCGAATCTTATTTTTCAATTTTTTGATTATAAAATTTTAGATTTTTCGATTTTTTAATGTATCGATTTCACGATTTTTCAGTTTGCTATTTTTCAATTTTCAAAATTTGTGATTTTTCAATTTTTCATTTTATTAATTTTATTATGTATTCAGTTTCTTGACTTTTCAATTTTCCTATTTTTAAATTTTTCGATGTTGCAATTTTTGACGTTTATAAATTTTCCAATTATCAATTAATTAAGTTATTGGTTGTTGTATTAATTGTTCACATTTTCGATTTTTCAGGTTTTCGATTTTTAAATTTTCGATTTTCAACTTCGATTTCTCCATTTTTCAATTTTTTATTTTATTAGATGTTCGATTGTTCAGTTTCTCAATTTTTCAATTTTTAACTTTTCGATTTTGGACTATTTAGATTTCTTAATTTTTCGATTTTTTGACATCTCGAATTTTCGATTTCTCGATCTTTTGATGCTTCGTTTTTCAATGTTTCGAATTGTCGATTTTTCGGCTTTACGATTTTTCGATTTTTAATTTCTCCATTTTCAGTTTTTAGATTACTCAATTTTTTTATTTCAGTGTTGGGATTTTTCAATTTTCGATCCCTCGATCTTTCAATCAAATTTTCGGTTTCTATTTTTTCATTTTTCGATTTCTCAGTTTCCCATTGTTTCAGTTTTACGATTTTTCAATCTTTCGATTGAATTTATTGGTGTTTCGACTTTCTGTTTTCTTGACTTCTCGATTTTTCGGTTGTTCAATTCCTCACATTTTCGATTTATCAGGTTTTGATTTTTCAGTTGTTCGATTTTTTAAATTTCGAATTTTTCAACCTCGACTTCTCGACTTTGTTTAATTTTTCGTTTCCTCAATTTTTTGATTATTAAATTTTAGATTTTTCAATTTTTCGATTTTTTGATGTTTCGATTTCTCGATTTTTCAGTTTTTTGATTCTTCAATGTTTCGAATTTATATTCTGAAATTTTCAAACTTCCGATGTTTCGATTTCTAGATCTTTCGATTTTTCGACTTGTCGAATTTTATAATTACTCAGTTCTCTGATTTTTTAATTTTCAAAATTTTTGATTTTTTCAATTTTTCGTTTTATCAATTTTTCGAGTTCTCGATTTACTCAGATTTCGATGTTTCCATTTTTCTATTCTTTAATTTCTCGATTTTCCTATTTATTCTATTTTTTAGATGTTCCGTTTTTAAAATTGTTCGTTTTCGCAATTTTTTAATGTTTCAATTTTGTAATTTTTAAATTATTTCGATTCTTTAATTTTTCTTCAGTTTTCAATATTTCAATATGTCGAATCTTAACTGTTTCAATTTTTTTATTATTAATTAGATTTTTCAATTTTTCGATTTTTTAATATCGATTTTTCAGTTTTCTATTTTTTCAATTTTCAAAATTTTTGATTTTTCAATTTTTCATTTTATGAATTTTTCGACTGTTCAGTTTCTCGATTTTTTAATTCTTCGAATTTTCGATTTTGGGCTATTTTGAGGTCTCATTTTTCGATTTTTCGACTTTTCGATTTCTCGATCTTTTGATATTTCAGTTTTTCCATTTTTCGATGATGTTTCGATTTTTCGACATCCCGGTTTTCCGATTTTTCGACTTGTTGATTTCCCAATTTTTCGCCAATTCAGTTTTTACAATTTTTCGATTCTTCAATTATCTATTTTTCAATTTACGCGTATCCAAAAATATTTATGTTACTGTTTTCAATTTTCAAATTTATGAGATTTGTCGACTTTTCGATTTGTTGTTTTTTTAATTTTTTGTTTTCTCCATTTTTCAATATTTCAGTTTTTGGGGTTTTTCCTTTTTTCGAATTTTTAAATTTTAGAATTTTCAGATTTTTGATGTTTTGATTTTTCGGTTTTAGATTTTTCAGTTCTCTAATTTTTAATTTTCAAAATTTTTGATTTTTCAATTCTTCCATTTATCGAGATGTTTCGATTTTTCTATTCTTTAATTTCTCGATTTTCCAATTTTTTCGATGTTCGGTTTTTTAATTTTTTCGATTTTTCAATTTTTCAGTTTTTGGGATTTTTCAGTGTTTCGAATCTAAAATTTTTCAATTTTTTGATTATTAAACTTTAGATTTTTAATGTTTCGATTTTTCAGTTTTCTAATTTTTCAGTTTTCAAAATTTATGGTTTTTATATTTAGTTTTATTAATTTTTCGATTATGCAGTTATTCGATTTTTTAATTTTTCGAATTTTCGATTTATCTTTTTTGTTTTAATTTTAAACTTCTCAATTTAGCAATTTTTAACTGTACGAATTTTCGATTTTGGGCTATGTCAAGGTCTCAATTTTTCGATTTCTCGACCTTTTACTGTTTCGTTTTTCAACGTTTCAGTTTTCCCACTTTCCGATTGTTCGAATTTTCGACTTTTCAATTTCCCAATTTTTCGTCATTTTAGTTTTGGAATTTTACAATTTTTCGATTCTTCAATTTTCCTATTTTAAAATTTTTCGATGTTTCAACTTATCAATTTTTGACGTTTCTAATTTTTCGAATTTTCAATTAATAAAATTATTGGTTTTTCGACTTTTTGATTTCTTGGCTTCTCGATTTTTCGATTTTTCAGTTCTTTAATTCTTCACATATTCGATTTTTCAGGTTTTCGATTTTTGAACTTCGATTTCTCGACCTTTTGATTTTTCGTTTTCTCAATTTTTTAATATTTCAGTTTTTGGGTTTTCCAATTTTTAGATTTTTCGATGTTTGGATTTCTCGATTTTTCAGTTTTATGATTCTTCAATTTTTCGAAATTTTAAATTTTAGAATTTTCAGATTTTTGATGTTTTGATTTGTAAACTTTCGACTTCTTGGTAAAAGATTTTTCAGTTCTGTAATTTAATTTTTGAATTTTCAAAATTTTTGATTTTTCAATTTTTGGTTTTACCAATTTTTCGATTTCTCGATTTACAGACATTTCAATGTTTCGATTTTTCTATTCTTTAATTTCTCGATTTTTCCAATTTTTTCGATATTAAATTTTAATTTTTCAATTTTTCGAATTTTATTCTTTCGATTCCTCGATTTTTCAGTTTTCTAATTATTCAGTTTTCAAAATTTTTGATTTTTCAGTTTTTCATTTTATTAATTTTTCGATTATTCAGATTGTCGATTTTTCAATTTTTCGAATTTGCCATTTATCTTTTTTTTTATTTTAAACTTCTCAATTTTACAATTTTTAACTGTCCGAATTTTCGATTTTCGAGATCTTTTGATGTTTCGGTTTTCGATGTTTCAGTTTTTCCATTTTTCGATGTTTTGTTTTTTCAAAGATTTCGGCTTTTCGACTTTTCGATTTCCCAATTTTTCGTCATTTCAGCTTTTCGATTCTTTTTTTCAAAAATTTCGGTTTTTCAAATTACGACATTTCTAAATCAGTTAATCTTTGCCAAAATTTAAATACATATCTTTCATTTCAACTGATTCGAAATGAAGGATTTTTTTTCACAATTTTTGAAAAAAAAACAAGAAATTTGTTCCAGACCAAAATTTTGGAAAAGGAAAAGGTCTCAAATTTTCACACTTCCAAAAAATACGTTGTTTTCTAATTTCGCAAGTTTTTTAAAGTTTGTAATTTTATGTAAAGATTTCCTAATTTGACGATTCAGTATTTTAGAAAGCGTTTTGAATTTTGAAAAAGAATTTTTGAAATGTCTGACTTGTGGCTTTTTTATTTTACATTTGGAATGTTTAGTTGAGCATTTGTCAGTGTTGGTGTTTTTTTTTTTTACTATTTTTGAAAAATTTGACAATTTATTTCGATGTATTGTTTTTGAAGTAGTTTGAGAGAAACTCCGCCCCTGCCTTTACGCAGACTTAATTTATATTTATGAAAATAAAAATTGTAGTTTTTTTGTCTGCAAACAAGGTAAAAAATCTGAAACTATATTATTACTGATGATTGAGCTAGAGTGCAAATACTATGGCTTTGACCAGTGGCGTATCATTTGCGTTATAAAATGGGGGCATTCTAAAAAACATTGTTATAATAACATGGCGAACACCGCTACTGATGCTACCAGTGCAGCTTCCTCCCCCTTAATTCGCAAGTAGACCCGTCCAGGCACTTACGACTATTGGGACATCGTGATCTCAAAAATTGCTTTTATTTACATTTAAAGAAAAATGAAGTGAAATCAGTGTCTAAATTGTCCTGTAGTTTTAACCACAGAAATCGAAGAAAACAAAAAAACTAAAAACAAATTTAGAAAAAATGTGCACTTTTTGTATTCGTTTTCTGCTCCATATAGGAAAACCAATCGAAGAATACCGAAGACAGTTAGGTAGTTTCGGAATCTCAGGGGATTTGGCGTTGCAAACCGTCGCCAGTTTATCCGGAGGTCAAAAATCGCGGGTGGCTTTCGCCCGAATGTGCATGGGCCAACCCAACTTCTTGGTACTCGACGAACCCACAAACCACTTAGACATAGAAACCATCGAAGCACTAGGGAACGCTATCACCAAATACACGGTACGTGCAGTACGAAATATGGTCGATTACGTCTGCTGAAGTTTTCTTTCAGGGAGGGGTTATTTTAGTGTCACACGACGAACGCCTTATAAGAAAAATCTGCAAAGAGTTGTGGGTGTGCGCCAACGGCTCAGTCAGGAGTATAGAAGGCTTCGACGAGTATAGGAAAATTGTGGAACAGGAGCTGGAAGCAGCCCAGTCTAAATAATACTTTCTTTAAAATTATTAGGAAATTTATTTGTATAAATGTGCCTCCTTTTATGTGGAAAAATTACTATTTATGATTTTTGTTATATTTATAATATATTCATGTTTATAATGGTATTTAAAAATAAAAGTTCATATTTTGCGAGGGTGTTTCGTGGAATTTTCGGACACTTTTTTTTAAACTTATCGTTTATTAATAGAGTATTAAAATAGTACACAGAATATGTATTTTTATAAATGAGTGAGTATTCTGCAGACAATAAATTATCTATGAACGACGTATAAAAAACATTGCAGGATAAAATCTAGTACCTTAACGAGTCTTATCACTAATAATACTGTTGTCTTTACATTGTATCGTGTATAAAACCAACACCCTAACTAACACCGTTATATTTAATTTCTTTCTCGTTTATCCTAAACCCCTCTACAAATTCTTTCGTGAAAACTGTTTCCTCTTCGTCGGGCAAAATCGTGGTGCCTTCGATCACACTTTCTTCGTCTGGCGGTATGGAAGTGTCTTCCACTACGACGTCCTCCTCATCTGAATCTGCCACCAAAATAGGGGTGGCTCCATCTAGTAGATTCGAACGACTCAAAGACCTCTGGTACATTTCTTTGGAAATGCTTCTGGTGAAAGAGAATCTCTTCGACTTTTGTCTGGTAAGAGGTGGCCTTTCTTTCGTCGGACTCGCCATGCTGTGAGCAGCATACTCTTTAATAATATCCCACGCTATAAGAATGTCCTCCTTTCTCGCATGCTCAGAGTTGACACAAAATCTAATAATATACTTATTTCTAACCACTGACGGTGTCATGTGAAGTCTCCCCGAGGCGTTAATTATCGCTAATAACTTCTGATTTGCATTATCGCTCGCTAACATACGGAAACACACTAAAATCAATTTAACATCATTTTTTGGCTTTTCGATTTTTCAATTTTCGATTTCTTAATTTTTCGATGTTTCAGTTTGGAATTTTTCGATTTTTCAATCTCCATTCCTCAAATTTTCGATTTCTATTTTGTCATTTTTCGATTTCTCAGTTTTCCAAAATTTCAGTTTTACGTTTTTCAATTTGTCGTTTCTTGAATTTTCCTATTTTTAAATTTATCGATGTTTCAACCTTTCAACTTACTACGTTTTTACATTTTCGAATTTTCAATTAATTAAATTATTGGTTTTTCGACTTTTTGTTTTCTTAACTTCTCGATTTTTCAGTTTTTTAATTCTTCACATTTTCGATTTTTCAGGTTTTTGATTTTTCAGTTGTTCGATTTTGGAATTTTTCAGTTTTTTCATTCTTCAGTTTTCGCTTTTTCAATTTCTCGATTTTCAATTTTTCGTTGATTCAATTTTTCGGTTCCTCAAATTTTTGATTTCTATTTTTCATTTTTCGATTTCTCAGTTTTCCAAAATTTCAGTTTTAGGTTTTTCAATTTGTCGATTCTTCAATTTTCCTATTTTGAAATTTTTAGATGTTTCTAAATTCCACAATTTTCAATTAATTAAATTGTTGGTTTTTCGACTGTTTGATTTTTTGACTTGTCAGTTTTTCGATTTTTCACTTTTTTAATTCTTTACATTTTCGATTTTTCAGGTTTTTGATTGTTCAATTGTTCGATTCTTTAGATTTTCGATTTTTCAACTTCGATCTCGACTTTTCGTTTTCTCAATTTTTCAATGTTTCAGTTTTCGGGGTTTTTCAATTTTTCTATTTTTCGATGTTTCGATGTTTCGACTTCTCGGTTTTAGATTTTTCAGGTCTCTAATTTTTCAATTTTCAAAATTTTTGATTTTTCAATTTTTCGTTCGATCGATTCTCGATTTACCGAGGTTTCGATGTTTCGATTTTTCTATTCTTTAATTCCTCGATTTTCCAATTTTGGGTTTTTTAAATTTTTTCGATTCTTCGATTTTTCAATATTTCAGTTTTTGGGATTTTTCAATTGTCGAATCTTAAATTTTCAATTTTTTGATTATTAAATTTTCTAATTTTTCAATTTTCAAGATTTTGGATTTTTTAATTTTTCACTTTATAATTTTTTCGATTGTTCAGTTTCTCGATATTTCAATTTTGCAATGTTTAACTGTTCGAATTTTCGATTTTGGGCTATTTCGAGGTCTCAATTTTTCCATTTTTTGAATTTTCGATTTCTCGGTTTTTCGAATTTTCGACTTCGCTTTCCCAATTTTTCGTCATTTCAGTTTTGGGATTTTGCAATTTTTCGATTCTTCAATTTTCCGATTTTTCAATTCACGCGTATCCAAAAATATCTACTTTATTGTTTTCAATTTTCAAATTTATTAAATTTTTCGACTTTCCGATTTTTTGTTTTTTTAATTTTTCGTTTTCTCAATTTTTCAATATTTCAGTTTTTGGGATTTTTCACTTTTTCAATTTTTCTATGTTTCGATTTCTCGATATTTCGGTTTTTGGGGTTTTTCAGTTTTCGAATTTTTAAATTTTAGAATTTTCAGATTTTTGATGTTTCGATTTCTGAATCTTTCGATTTTTCGACTTCTCGGTTTTAGATTTTTCAGTTCCATTTTTTTCAATATTTTAATTTCTCGATTGTCCGATTTCTTCAATGTTTTTAAAATTTTTCGTTTTCGCATATTTTCAGTGTTTCAATTTTGGGTTTTTTAAATTTTTCGATTCTTCAATTTTTCTTCAATATTTCAATTTTGGGATTTTTCAATATTTCGAATCTCATTTTTCAATTTTTTGATTATTAAATTTTAGATTTTTCGCTTTTTTAATGTTTCGATTTCTCGATTTTTCAGTTTGCTATTTTTTCTATTTTCAAAATTTGTGATTTTTCAATTTTTCATTTTATTAATTTTATCATGTATTTAGTTTCTTGACTTTTCAATTTTCCTATTTTTAAATTTTTCGATCTTTCAATTTATCCATTTTTGACGTTTATAAATTTTCCAATTATCAATTAATTAAATTACTGGTTGTTCGACTTTTTGATTTCTTGACTTCTCGATTTTTCAGTTTTTTAATTCTTCACATTTTCGAGTTTTCAGGTTTTTGATTTTTAAATTTTCGATTTTTCAACTTCGATGTATCGATTTTTCGTTTTTTTAATTTTTGGTTTTCTCAGTTTTTCAATATTTCAGGTTTTTTAATGTTTCGATTTCTCGATTTTTGAGTTTTCTAATTATTCAATTTTCAAGATTTTTGATTTTTCAATTTTTAACTTTTCGATTTTGGACTATTTGGCTTTCTTAATTTTTACATTTTTTGACTTCTCGACTTTTCGATTTCTCGATCTTTTGATGCTTCGTTTTTCGATGTTTCAGTTTTTCCATTTTTCGAATTTTCGGTTTTTCGGCTTTACGATTTTTCGATTTTTAATTTCTCCATTTTCAGTTTTTCAATTACTGAATTTTTCGGTTTCAGTGTTGGGATCTTTCAAATTTTCGAATTTTCGATCCCTCGATCTTTCAAATTTTCGAATTCTATTTTTTCATTTTTCGATTTCTCAGTTTCCCATTGTGAATTTATTGGTGTTTCGACTTTCTGTTTTCTTGACTTCTCGATTTTTCGGTTGTTCAATTCCTCACTTTTTCGATTTATCAGGTTTTGATTTTTCAGTTGTTCGATTTTTTAAATTTCGAATTTTTCAATCTCGACTTCTCGACTTTGTTTTTTTAATTTACCGTTTCCTCAATTTTTCAATATTTTAATTTTTGGAATTTTTCAATATTTTGAATCTTAGGTTTTTCAATTTTTTGATTATTAAATGTTAGATTTTTCAATTTTTCGATTTTTTGATGTTTCGATTTCTCGATTTTTTTATTCTTCAATGTTTCGAATTTACATTTTAGAATTTTCAAACTTCTGATGTTTCGATTTCTAGATCTTTCGATTTTTCGATTTGTCGATGTTTCCATTTTTCTATTCTTTAATTTCTCGATTTTCCTATTTTTTAGATGTTTCGTTTTTTTAAATTTTTCGTTTTCGCAATTTTTAATGTTTCAATTTTGGAATTTTTAAATAATTTCGATTCTTTAATTTTTCTTCAGTTTTTCTATATTTCAGTTTTTGGAATTTTTCAATATGTCGAATCGTAAATTTTTCAATTTTTTTGATTATTAATTAGATTTTTCAATTTTTCGATTTTTTAATGTTTCGATTTCTCGATTTTTCAGTTTTCTAATTTTTCAATTTTCAAAATTTTTGATTTGTCAATTTTTCATTTTATGAATTTTTCGACTGTTCAGTTTCTCGATTTTTTAATTTTTCGAATTTTCGATTTATCTTTTTTTTTTAATTTTAAACTTCTCAATTATGCAATTTTTGACTGCTCGAATTTTCGATTTTGGGCTATTTCGGGGTCTCATTTTTTGATTTTTCGACTTTTCGATTTCTCGATCTTTTGATATTTCACTTTTTCCATTTTTCGATGTTTCGATTTTTCGATTTCTCGCTTTTCCGATTTTTCGAATTTTCGACTATTCCATTTCCCAATTTTTCGCCATTTCAGTTTTGGAATTTTACAATTTTTCGATTCTTCAATTTTCCTATTTTTCAATTTACGCGTATCCAAAAATTTTTATTTTATTGTTTTCAATTTTCAAATTTATGAGATTTGTCGACTTTTAGATTTGTTGTTTTTTTAATTTTTTGTTTTCTCCATTTTTCAATATTTCAGTTTTTGGGGTTTTTCAATTTTTCAATGTTTCGATTTCTCGATTTTTCAGTTTTTTGATTCTTCAATTTTTCCAATTTTTAAATTTTAGATTTTTCAGATTTTTGATGTTTCGATTTCTAAATCTTTCGGTTTTTCAATTTCTCTGTTTTAGATTTTTCAGTTCTCTAATTTTTAATTTTCAAAATTTTTGATTTTTCAATTTTTCCATTTATTGAGATGTTTCGATTTTTCTATTCTTTAATTTCTTGATTTTCCAATTTTTTCGATGTTCCGTTTTTTAATTTTTTTGGATTCTTCAATTTTTCTTTCATTTTTCAATTTTTCAATATTTCAGTTTTTGGGATTTTTCAGTATTTCGAATCTTAAATTTTTCAATTTTTTGATTATTAAATTTTAGATTTTTTAATGTTTCGAATTTTCAGTTTTCTAATTTTTCAATTTTCAAAATTTATGGTTTTTCTATTTAGTTTTATTAATTTTTCGATTATGCAGTTTCTCGATTTTTTAATTTTTTAATTTTCGATTTATCTTTTTGTTTTAATTTTAAACTTCTCAGTTTAGCAATTTTAATTGTGCAAATTTTCGATTTTGGGCTATTTCGAGGTCTCAATTTTTTGATTTTTCGATTTCCCAATTTTTCGTCATTTCAGTTTTGGAATTTTACAATTTTTCGATTCTTCAATTTTCCTATTTTTAAATTTTTCGATGTTTCAACTTATCAGTTTTTGACGATTCTAATTTTTCGAATTTTCAATTAATGAAACTATTGGTTTTTCGACTTTTTGATTTCTTGGCTTCTCGATTTTTCGATTTTTCAGTTCTTTAAGTCTTCACATATTCAATTTTTCCGGTTTTTGATTTTTCAGTTGTTCCATTTTTTAAATTTTCGATTTTTCAACTTCGATTTCACGACTTTTTGATTTTTCGTTTTCTCAATTTTTTAATATTTCAGTTTTTGGGTTTTCCAATTTTTCAATTTTTCGATGTTTGGATTTCTCGATTTTTCAGTTTGATTCTTCAATTTTTCGAAATTTTAAGTTTTAGTATTTCCAGATTTTGGATGTTTCGGTTTGTAAACTTTCGACTTCGTGGTAATAGATTTTTCAGTTCTCTAATTTTTCAATTTGCAAATTTTTTGATTTTTCAATTTTTGGTTTTACCAATTTTTCGATTTCTCGATTTACAGACATTTCAATGTTTCGATTTTTCTATTCTTTAATTTCTGGTTTTAAAAATTTTTCGATGTTCTGTTTTTAAAATTTTTTCGATTCTTCAATTTTTCTTCATTTTGATTATTAAATTTTTGATTTTTTTAAAGTTAAAGTTTCGATTCCTCGATTTTTCAGTTTTCTAATTATTCAGTTTTCAAAATTTTTGATTTTTCAGTTTTTCATTTTATTAATTTTTCGATTATTCAGATTCTCGATTTTTCAATTTTTCCAATTTGCAATTTATCTTTTTTTTATTTCAAACTTCTCAATTTTACAATTTTTAACTGTTCGAATTTTTGATTTTGGACTACTTCGAGGTCTCAGTTTTTCGATGTTTCGTTTTTTCAAAAATTTCGGCTTTCCGACTTTTCGATTTCCCAATTTTTCGTCATCACAGTTTTGAAATTTTACAATTTTTCGATTCTTCAATTTAAAGATTTTTCAATTCAGGCGTATCCAAAAATATTTATTTAATTGTTTTCAATTTTCAAATTTATGACATTTCTAAATCAGTTAATCTTTGCAAAATTTAAATACATATGTTTCATTTCAACTGATTGGAAATGAAGGCAGTTTTTTTCATTATTTTTGAAAAAAAAACAACTTGCCGAGTTCCACACCCAAAATTTTGAAAAAGAAAAAACTCTCAAATTTTCACATTTCCAAGAAATACATTGTTTTCTAATTTCGAAAGTTTTTTAAAGTTTGTACTTTTATTTAAAGATTTCCTAATTTAACGATTTCAATATTTCAGAAAGCGTTTTGAATTTTGAAAAAAAAAAAAATGTTTGAAATGTCTGACTTTTGGTTTTTTAATTTTACATTTGGAATGTTTAGTTGAGCAATTGTCGGTGTTGGTGTTTTTTTTACTATTTTTGAAAAATTTGACAACTTATTTCGGTGCATTGTTTTTGAAGTAGTTTGAGAGAAACTCCGCCCCTGCCTTTACGCAAACTTAATTTATATTTATGAAAATAAAAATTGTGATTTTTTTGTCTGCAAACAAGGTGAAAAATCTGAAACTATATTATTACTGATGACTGTGCTAGAGTGGAAATACTATGGCTTTGACCAGTGGCGTATCATTTGCGTTATAAAATGGGGGCATTCTAAAAAACATTGTTATAATAACATAGCGAACAGCGCTACTGATGCTACCAGTGCAGTTTCCTCCCCCTTAATTTGCGAGTAGACCCGTCCGTTGCTTTTATTAACATTTAAAGAAAAATGAGTGAAATCAGTGTCCAAATTGTCCTGTAGTTTTAACAGATCGAAGAAAACAAAAAAACGAAACAATTTTTTAGAAATAATGCACTTTTTGTATTCGTTTTCTGCTCCATGTAGGAAAACCAATCGAAGACTACCGAAGACAGTTAGGTAGTTTCGCAATCTCAGAGGATTTGGCGTTACAAACCGTCGCCAGTTTATCCGGAGGTCAAATGTGCCTCCTTTTATGTGGAAAAATTACTATTTATGATTTTTGTTATATTTATAATATATTCATGTTTATAATGGTATTTAAAAATAAAAGTTCATATTTTGCGAGGGTGTTTCGTGGAATTTTCGGACACTTTTTTTAAAACTTATCGTTTATTAATAGAGTATTAAAATAGTACACAGAATATGTATTTTTATAAATAAGTGAGTATTCTGCAGACAATAAATTATCTATGAACGACGTATAAAAAACATTGCAGGATAAAATCTAGTACCTTAACGAGTCTTATCACTAATAATACTGTTGTCTTTAAATTGTATCGTGTATAAAACCAACACCCTAACTAACACCGTTATATTTAATTTCTTTCTCATTTATCCTAAACCCGTCTACAAATTCTTTCGTGAAAACTTTTTCCTCTTCGTCGGGCAAAATCGTGGTGCCTTCGATCACACTTTCTTCGTCTGGCAGTATGGAAGTGTCTTCCACCACGACGTCCTCCTCATCTGAATCTGCCACCAAAATAGGGGTGGCTCCATCTAGTAGGTTCGAACGACTCAAAGACCTCTGGTACATCTCTTTGGAAATGCTTCTGGTGAAAGAGAATCTCTTCGACTTTTGTCTGGTAAGAGGTGGCCTTTCTTTCGTCGGACTCGCCATGCTGTGAGCAGCATACTCTTTAATAATATCCCACGCTATAAGAATGTCCTCCTTTCTCGCATGCTCAGAGTTGACACAAAATCTAATAATATACTTATTTCTAACCACTGACGGTGTCATGTGAAGTCTCCCCGAGGCGTTAATTATCGCTAATAACTTCTGATTTGCATTATCGCTCGCTAACATACGGAAACACACTAAACCCAATTTAACATCGTTCACAACTTCGAACCGAATGTCTTCGCGCACCAGCGATTCGAAGAACTTAGCTAAGTTGATGTGGTTCCGAATGTACGCTCTCAACCCATTCAACCCGTACTTCCTCAGCACGAACCACAACTTCAGCGACCTAAATCGTCTACTCAAAGGAATCCCCCAGTGCCTATAATCTATAGCTTCGTCTGAATTGGCGTGCTGAAGATACAGTGGATCCACAACCAGCGCATGCGTCAGCCGAATCCTGTCCCGAACCCACAAACAAGAGCAGTCGAAATTGACCAGAAGCCACTTATTCGGGTTCGTGTTGAACGAATCCGCGTAATCCATCCCCGCCATCAGGTACTTCAACTCCGGGCAGATAAACGCGTTTCCGGCGTAGGCCGCATCCACGTGCAGCCAGCACCGCTTCTGCTCTTTGCACACCGGCCCGATCTCCTCCAGGTTGTCGAAGGCGCACGACGCCGTCGACCCCAGGATGGACGACACGAAGAACGGGAACAAGCCCTTGGCTTTGTCCTTCTCCATTTCCTCGCGGAGGGTGGAGCCGCGGAGGGCGCCGTTCTCGTCGGGGTCGAGGATGCGGAGTTTGACGAGGAGGATCTTGGCGGCTTTTTCCACGCAGGAGTGGGCTTCTTTGGAGCAGTAGCCCACGAGCTTCGGGAGGTAGGCGCTGTCTTCGGTGTCCACGTGGGGGTTTTCGGTTTTTAGGTACTTGATGGCCTGGTTGCGGGCCGCCAGCATGGAGACGAGGACGCACTCGCTGGCGGAGGTTTGGATCACGCCGCCGCCTTTGCTGCCTTCGGAGCAGGTGATGAAGGCGGAGGGGAGGCCGATGGCTTTGCCGAACCAGTCCATGACGATGGTTTCGAGTTCGGTGCAGGCGGGGCTGGCGGCCTGGAATGAAAAAGGGGTTAGACTCTTTTTTTTTAATTGAGAGGTGAGGTCGTTTGTGGTTTGCGAAAAAGAAGCAGGGTTAAGGCGAGACCCCTGTGATACTCCGAAATTGATTTGTGGTCGGATTAAAATTTCTAATGCTAGTGTTTAGAAGACGCAACAGTAAAATTTTATAAATAGCTCGAGTTAAAATATAAAAATAAATACTAAATATTGTGTTAGACATTCCACCTGGAGGGTATTTTTAGTGGTTTTATCTTCATCTAAATTTAATAAAATATTTAAGTTTGGACAACATTTTTTTGAAATAAGTATATGGATATTTATGTGAGGTGTTTTTTTCGAGTTTTCACGTTTAAATTTTTCAGTTTTTAATGTTCATTTGTCAAATTTGTTGATTTGCAATTTTTCATTTTTTTGTTTCTTCAGTTTTTAGATGTTGCAATTTTTCGATTTACAATTTCTCGAATTTTGAGTTTTTAATTTTTTAGTTTTTCGATTTATAAATTTTTCATTTCTTCAAATTTTCCATTTGCAATTATGATGAAATGCAATTCTTCTAGTTTTCATCTTTAAATCTTTCATTTTTTCAGTTTTCCAGCTTTTGGACGTTTCAATTTTTCTATTTGCAATTTCTGGGTTTCCTGTTTTCTAATTTTTCGATTTGCAATTTTTCCTTTCGGCTTTTTATTTTATTTATTTTATAATTTTATAATTGTTCTTTTCTCATGGTGAATTTTTTTCAGTTTTTGGGTTTTTCAATTTTTCGGCTTGCAGATTTTCGATTTACAATTTTTCGATTTTTCAACTTTTGGCTTTTCAGTTTTTCAGTTCTTAGATTTTGCTTTTTTAGTTTTTCTAGTTTTTAATTTTAATTTTTCAATTTTTTTTGTTTTTTCAGTTTTTAGATTTTGCTATTTTTTGATTTACAATTTCTCGAATTTTGAGTTTTTGATCTTTTAGTTTTTCGATTCATCAATTTTTCATTTCTTCAAATTTTCGATGTGAAATTGTTCAATTTCTAAGTTTCCAGTTTTTCAATTTTTCGATTTTTCAATCTGCAATTTTTCCTTTCGGTTTTTTATTTTCTTTATTTCTTTATTTTTTCGGTTTTTCAATGTTCTGATTTTATTATCTTTTCAATATGAAATTTTTCAGTTTGGATTTCCCAATTTTTCGTTTTTTCAATTTTAAATATTTAGATTTTTCAACTATTCGAACAAAAAAATGAAAAATTGCAAAGTTGTAAAATTGAAAAATGAAAAAACCAAAAAGTATAAAACGAAAACTTAGAAAAATGTCAAAATTGGAAATCAGAAACTTGAAAAATTCACGAAACGAAATATTGTAAGATTGATATATTGAAAATTAAAGAAATCGGAAAATCAGATAACTGATGAAATTTTCGATTTACATTTGTTCAATTTCTGAGTTTCCAGTTTTTCAATTTTTTGATTTGTAATTTTTCCTTTCGATTTTTATTTTCTTTATTTTTTTATTTTTTCGGTTTTCCAGTGTTCAGATTTTATAATTTTTCTTTTTTCAATAGAACATTTTTCAGTTTTTGGATTTTTCAGTTTTTCGATTTGCAGTTTTTCGGTTTTAAATTTTGCGTTTTTTCAACTTTTAAACTTTTTAATTTTTCAGTTTTTAGATTTTGCAGTTTTTCGATACGAGTTTCTCGAGTTTTTAATTTTCATTTTTCAATTTTTGATTTGTAATTTTTCACTTTTTTTTGTTTCTACAGTTTTTAGATTCTGCTATTTTTCGATTTTTTAGTTTTTGATTTTTTAGTTTTTCGGTTCATCAATTTTTCATTTCTCCAAATTTTCGATTTGAAATTGTTCAATTTCAAAGTTTCCAGTTTTTTAATTTTTCGATTTTTCAATTTGCAATTTTTCCTTTGGGTTTTTTTATTTTCGTAATTTTTTCAGTTTTAAATATTTAGATTTTTCAACTTATCGAACAAAAAACAATGAAAAATTTGCAATATTGAAAAATGAAAAAACCAAAAAGTATGAAATGAAGAATTTGAAAAATGTAAAAATTGGAACTCGGGAACTTGAAAAATTGAAGAAATTTTCGATTTGCAATTTTTCCCATCGGCTTTTTATTTTCTTTATTTTTCTTTAATTTTTCGGTTTTCCTGTGTTCTGATTTTATAATTTCTCTTTTTTCAATGTGAAATCTTTCAGTTTTTGGAGTTTTGGATTTTTCAATTTGCAGTTTTTCTATTTCGAATTTTTCGATTTTTCAACTTTTAGACTTTAATTTTTCAGTTTCTAGATTTTGATGAATTTCTCGAGTTTTTAATTTTGATTTTTCAAATTTTTGATTTGCAATTTTTCATTTTTTTGTTTCTTCAGTTTTTAGATTTGGACTTTTTCGATTTACAATTCCTCGAATATTCAGTTCTTCAAATTTTCGATTTAGGATGGTTCAATTTCTAAGTTTCCAGTTTTTCAATTTTCGGTTTGCAATTTTTCCTTTCGGTTTTTTATTTTCTTTATTTGTTTATTTTTTCGGTTTTTCAATGTCCTGATTTTATAATTTTTTCATTATGAAATTTCTCAGTTTTTGGATTTTTCAATTTCTCGATTTTTTTATTTTTATACTATTTAAATTTTGTGTTTTTTCAAGTTTAGATTTTTCAGTTTCCCTATTTTTAAAATTTTCGTTTCTTCAATTTTTGATTTGCCATTGTTTTAGTTTTCGTTTTAAATATGTTGTAATAACAATTTTCAAAATTTTCACTTCAAATTTTACGATTTTACAATTTTTGCATATTTCAGTTATTAGATCTTAAAACTTCTTCATAAAATTTTTCGATTTTTAGTTGGTTTTTCAATTTTTCGAACTGTCATTGTTACAGTTTTTCGACTTTACAATTTTGACCATTCTCTAAATTCTTTACTTTTTCAAAATTGAGTTTTCCAATTTTTCTATTCATTAATTCAATGTTATAATTTGTCGTTCTTCGGTTCTTCGATTTGCAATTTTTCCTTTCGGTTTCTATTTTCTTTATTTGTTTATTTTTTCGCTTTGTCAATGTTTTGACTTCATAATTTTTTCAATGTGAAATTTTTCAGTTTTTTGGATTTTTCATTTTTCAATTTTTCGTTTTTTCAATTTTAAATATTTAAATTTTCTATTATTTTCTACTATTCGAACAAAAAAATGAAAAATTGCAAAATCGTAAAATTGAAAAATGAAAAAACCGGAAAGTATGAAATGAAAACTTTGAAAAAAAATCTAAAAATTGGAAATCAGGAACTTGAAAAATTGAAGAAATGAAATATTTAAAATCGATATTCAGAAAATTAAAGAAATAGAAAAATCGAATAATTGATGAATGTTCGGTTTTTTATTATCTTATTTTTTTTTAATTTTTCGGTTGTCCAAAGTTCTGATTTTATAATTTTTCTTTTTTCAATGTGAAAATTTTCAATTTTTCAATCTTTCGATTTGCAGGTTTTCGGTTGTCAATTTTTCAACTTTTAGACTTTTCAATTTTTCAATTTTTAGATCTTGCAGTTTTTCAATATGAGTTTCTCGAGTTTTTAATTTTGATTTTTCAAGTTTTTGATTTGCAATTTTTCATTTTTTTGTTTCTTCAGTTTTTAAATTTTGCAGTTTTTCGATTTACAAGTTCTCTAATTTTCAGTTTTTAATTTTTCAATTTTCGATTCATCAATTTTTCATTTTTTCAAATTTTCGATGTGTAATTGTTCGATTTTTATTTTTTTTTTATTTTTTAATTTCACGAAATACAACTTTCAGGTTTTCGGTTTGCAATTTGTCCTTTCGGTTTTTTATTTTCTTTATTTTTTTAATTTTTCGGTTTTCCAATGTAATTTTTTTGTTTTTTTCAGTTTGAATTTTTCAGTTTCGTTAGTTTTTAACTTTTCGTTTCTTCAATTTTTGATTTGCAATTTTTCTAGTTTTCGTGTTAAATATGTAAAAACAATAAAAAAATCACTTTTTCTATTTTTCGATGTTACAGCTTTTCGACGTTACAATTTTGACGATTCTATAATTTTTTTACTTTACAAGTTTTGGATTTTCCAATTTTTCGCTTCCGTCTTTTTTCTTTCCAATTTTTTTCTATTCATTAATTCAATGTTTTAATTTGTCGTTCCTTCAGTTTTTCGATTTGCAATTTTTCGATTTTCTACTTTTTCGATTTTACAAATTTTCGTTTTTTCAATTTCAAATATTTCAATTTTTCAACTATTCGAACGAAAAAAATGGAAAAATTGCAAAATTGTAAAATTGAAAAAACAAAAAAGTACGAAATGAAAACTTTGAAAAATTTAAAAATTGGAAATTAGGAACTTGAAAAATTGAAGAAAGGAAGTATATTAAAAATTAAAGAAATCGGAAAATCGGATAATTGTGAAACTCAAAAATGGCAAAATTGAAAGATTTAAAAATTGGCAAATCGAGGAACTGAAGACTCCAAGATTGAAAATTTGAAAAATTAAATAGACGATCAATAAAATCGAACGAAATCTTGAAAAAATAAAGGATGTCAGAAAACGAAAAACTGTGTTATAAAATCGAGAAAACAAAAATTAAAAAATCGGGAGAATGAAAAACAAAATTCAAGAACTTCAAAACTGAGGAAACAAAAAATTGAAAAATCGAAATATTAAAAGTTTGGAAGATGAAAAATTAAAAATTGGAAAAAAGAAAAATTGAAAAGCTAAAAATCTAAAAAACGTGAATTTACGGCATGTTAAATGAAACAACAGGACAAACGATCTAGACGACTTTTATGTTTGTTTTTGTACTACGATTTTAAAGCAAAGTACTTCATCACAGGTGATTTTTCTGTATCGTTTAGACTTTTGCCGCCTTTTCGAAATAAGAAATATAATCAAACCGTCAAAGTAGGCGGACAGTTTAAAAACATTTTAACTAGAATGTCATTATTTTGCGTCTGTTTACAGCCGAACTATTTCACAATATTTTCAAATATAAAAAAAAATATGATGATATCATTACTAAAAAATGATAGTTAATTGTTTCCAGTTGCGTGCACTGTAATTTTCTCCAAGAAATCAAAGGTGACTTTGGAACCGGACATTATTTGCAAAATTTAACGCAATAATTACACCAAATTCGAGCCTATAATTATCTCAAAGTAACTAACATCCTGTTGAAAAACTAAATGGACAAGTGCTTCCACCACCATCCATCATCTCCAAGCTTTCATCAGATTTGTGTTATTTTCGTCCAGTGCCACTCTCTTATAAAATAATTAAATTAGAGGAGTTATATTTAGTTTCTAAGACCAAGCGTTAATCAGATCACTTAGGGCATTTAAAAATAATTTGCGTCAGCGGGTGAAAGTTCAATTTGAACAGCGAGGATTAAATTAAGTGAAACCCTTTTAGTACTGGAAAAAGCCTTTCGAAGAGGTCTTGCGCAACCCGACCATGTGAGTTATTGTTTAAATACAAGACCAGCCGTGACTAATTATGCAACAATGACAATCCACAAAACGTACAGCCATCACGAGTTTTTACGATGCTTTTGTTTATTTAAAAATCAAGCTAAACTAAAAATATTTCCGCATTGTGGAGTACAAATTTGATGAATCACTGATGACCCCTGTTTGTTCCCGCTGCTAATTTATGTAATTTGCCGTGTCGCCGAAAACATTTACAAAAGAAATAAAGCGCTCTCTAAAATAAACTCGCAGAAAACAAACAAAACCCCACGGAGTAAAAGCAAATATGCGAAGCGCCGTGAGAAAAAATCGGCTTTCTTTTTTGACACTGATAAAATAAACGCGACGATTTGTTTATCCTGTCGAACTGCGTCTAAGTTATGTAACTCACCCACGAGAAGCCGATGCATCCGATGGCGTCGGCGAGCATGTCCCCGAGGATGGACGGGAAGGAGTTCCCGGAGGGAAAGTACGCGTGGAACCTGGGGTGCTGCCAGTGGGTGATTCCAGGCATTATCTTGTTGTCGACGTCGGACATGATGTTGTCCCAGTCCTCGGGGTCCTGCGGGGCTTCGGTGGGTAAGAGTTTGCGGAGGTAACCGGTTTCCACGTCAGGGTGAACCCTCTGGTTCTCTATGTTGGCCATATACTGGCAGACATAGTCCACCATTTCCTTGCCTCTCGTCCGGAACTCTTCTACGTCCATTTTGATTCAGATTTGTTACGATTTTTCACGATTTCACGATTTTTTTTTAAGTCAACACTAAGCGCGCCTCACTCAGACTCCTCAGTGGTTCAATCACTGTGTGCTCTATGCTGGTAGGTGGGTGGTACACTTTATAAAAGGTTTCCCCACTCTTATTGGCTTCCGTTCGCGGTATTTTTCTATCTAGCTATTGTCGACTGGTTCCGTCTCTTTGAAAACTTTGAAACTGCTGTCGCACATGGACTGTTTTCATTTTATCCGTCTCCCTTAAATTTATAATACACTTTATTAATTAAATATTGACACAAAGCACACAGTTATTGTAGGTTAATTACTACTAAGAACACACGTTGTAAATTGGGAGCAAAATCTTACCAAATTTTACTTGTGATGATTTTCGGTTTCCACGGTTTGTGCAGTTAGGAAACCATAAAATGCCGTTTTAAGCTTGATACAATAAAACTAGGATTAAGCTAAACGTAATAAAGAGCTTCCTACCCGCCGTGTGTCAGCGAAGCAGAATTTAAATCGAGGAAGAGCGTTTTATGGACGTTTTTAAACACTTGCTTACAATTTTCATTTCTCAAAGTTTTTATTTTTACTTTTTTTGTAAACTGGGTGAAAAGTGTAGGATTCGTCAGACGTAGTAAAAATTATAACGGATTTACAAGAGGTGACGCATTTTTACTTCCCGAGCGTAAGCAAAGGAAGTATTGTAATCGAGTCCGTCGGCCGACTCTCTACTTTTACGTTTTCTCGATCTTTCATGACCCCTAGAAGACGAAGAAATAGGTCTCCCATTTCCGTCTGTCTGTCCGTCTGTCCGTCTGTCCGTCTGTCCGTCTGTCCGTCTGTCCGTCTGTCCGTCTGTCCGTCTGTCCGTCTGTTGTCACGGATTTTTATTAGACAGATAATCTCCGAAAGTACTCGACCGATTGTTGTGAAATTTTGTACTTATATTAAGAATATCATGTAGATGGTAAAACGCTAACCAAAATTTGTCGAATCATCCCCACCACTAAAGCGATGACGTCACTTCAAAATTGTACATAGTAAATGGGTTTTCAATTGTATAAAATAACATAGTCCTACACATGTAGTTTACAACTCTGAATCGACTTTTCACCCGAAACGTCCAGATTTTTGGAAAAAAAATCAAAATTATAAAACAACATTTTGAAATTTAATTTTTAATCTGCTAACCAGAATGCTTTGAAATGTTGCAGATGTTTTAAGGCTATAAAGAGCATCATAAATCTTTAGTCAAAAAATATTTGCTTATCCCCTCCAAAAACTTGATGACGTCAGCTCAAAAGTTTGTGGAATAAATCATATCTAAAATGTACAAAATATGATGAGTCTGTACTTGTGAACTATCACTCCATTCATATTTTTTGGATTTGCATATACAGGGTGACTCAAAAAAATTAATGAATGCGTAAATATATTTTATTGATTTAATCAGGAACTACAAAACCGAATGCTCTGAAATCTTGCAGATGTTTTAAGGTCATAAAGAGCATAATAAATGTTTAGTCAAAATATATTTGCTTATCCCCTCCAAAAATTTGATGACGTCAGCTCGAAAGTTTGCCGAATAAATCATATCTAAAATGTACAAAATATGATGAGCCTGTACTTGTCATTTATCACTCCATTCATATTTTTTGGATTTGCATATACAGAGTGACTCAAAAAAATTAATGAATGCGTAAATATATTTTATTGATTTAATCAGGAACTACAAAACGGAATGCTCTGACATCTTGCAGATGCTTTAAGGTTATAAAGAGCATAATAAATGTTTAGTCAAAATATATTTGCTTATCCCCTCCAAAAACTTGATGACGTCAGCTCGAAAATTTGCCGAATAAATCATATCTAAAATGTACAAAATATGATCAGTCTGTACTTGTGATCTATCACTCCATTTATATTTTTTGGATTTGCATATACAGGGTGATTCAAGAAAATAAATGAAAGCGTAAATTTATTTTACTGATTTACTCAGGAACTACAAAACCGAATGCTTCGAAATCTTGAAGATATTTTAAAATTATCATAAGCATGGTAAATTTTTGATCAAAACGTATTTGGTCGTCACCCCTAAAAAATTTATGATGTCACCACAAAATTTTGCTGAATAAATCCTATCTAAAATGTACAAAATATGGTGAGTCTCGTCTAGTGATTTATCATTCCATTCAAATTTTTTCGATTTGCATATACAGGGTGACTCAAAAAAATTAATGAATGCGTAAATTTATTTTATTGATTTAATCAGGAACTACAAAACCGAATGCTTTGAAATCTTGCAGATGTTTTAAGGTTATAAAGAGCATAATAAATTTTTAGTCAAAATATATTTGGTTATCTTCTACAAAAAACTGATGACGTCAGCTCAAAAGTTTTCCGAATAAATCGTATCTAAAATGTACAAAATATGATGAGTCTGTACTTGTGATTTATCATTCCATTCATATTTTTGGATTTGCATATGCAGGGTGACTCAAAAAAATTAATGAAGGCGTGAATTTATTTTATCAATTTAATCAGGAATTACAAAACCGAATGCTTTGAAATCTTGGGAATATTTTAAAGTTATTATAAGCATGGTAAACTTTTGTTCAAAATGTATTTGTTCATCCCTCCTAAAAAAATTGATGACGTCACCCTTAAATTTTGCTGAATAAATCCTATCTAAAATGCAAAAAATATGATGAGTTTGTACTTGTGATTTATCATTCCATTCATATTTTTTAGATTTTCTTAAGAGGTGGTTCAAAAAAATTAATGAAGTCAATTTATTTTATTGATTAAATTAAAGGCAACACTTATTATTAGTATTACAACCCAACCAACCCAATTTGGTAGACACAAAATTTGTTAAAGGAAAAACTCGGTTGAAACATAAGGGTAGCACGCTTATTTACATCGACTTTAACATTACAGACCTGCATTTGTTTTATGCGTTCACTTGATTCCGCGAATGTGAAATAGACATGTTTATAATCAACCAATTGTGAATTTCACCGTCAAGAATTAAAATAAAACCCAATGTTTTATATAATAAGCGGAAGTCGAAGCAATAAAACCGACGGTCGTTTTGTTTACAGTTTCTCTGTTTGGCTCTCACGTATGCTGTTACGCCTGTCATCTTAAATTAAGAATGTTTATACATACACGATTTTCAGTTGCCTCTGATACGTAGGTATACGTGAGTAAATTGTTTCGTTATTTTATTGATTATTACAAATCAATATTCAAACGACCCAATTCATTTTCCCGAAAATTTGAGAATATAATAATTTTATTCTTAGTATTACACTACATCTATCCCAACTGATATACGTGTCCTTGCAAAAATGTTGATGACGTCAGCGCAATTTTTTTTTAAATTCCCCACTACAAAAATGTAATGAGAAAAAAAACACAATAGGCATGCAGTCGTCAAGTTTCCGACAGCGAGGGAAGTACTGTCTAAACTCTTTAGACCAATTTTTTGGCATGCGTTCGCTTAAAATAGTGAGACGAACTCAGACCTGATGAATGTGGCAATAAAAGAACTGACTGATGATTAAAAATATTATTTATAATAGGTAATCAATCTGTAGAACAAACACTTTTTACTTCCCGAGCGTAAGCAAAGGAAGTATTGTAATCGAGTCCGTCGGTCGACTCTCTACTTTTACGTTTTCTCGATCTTTCATGACCCCTAGAAGACGAAGAAATAGGTCTCCCATTTCCGTCTGTCTGTCCGTCTGTCCGTCCGTCTGTCCGTCCGTCTGTTGTCCCGGATTTTTATTAGACAGATAATCTCCGAAAGTACTCGACCGATTGTTGTGAAATTTTGTACTTATATTAAGAATATCATGTAGATGGTAAAACGCTAACCAAAATTTGTCTAATCATCCCCACCACTAATGCGATGACGTCACTTCAAAATTGTACATAGTAAATGGGTTTTCAATTGTATAAAATAACATAGTCCTACACATGTAGTTTACAACTCTGAATCGACTTTTCACCCGAAACGTCCAGATTTTTGGAAAAAAAATCAAAATTATAAAACAATATTTTGAAATTTAATTTTTAATCTGCTAACCAGAATGCTTTGAAATGTTGCAGATGTTTTAAGGCTATAAAGAGCATCATAAATCTTTAGTCAAAAAATATTTGCTTATCCCCTCCAAAAACTTGATGACGTCAGCTCAAAAGTTTGCCGAATAAATCGTATCTAAAATGTACAAAATATGATGAGTCTGTACTTGTGATTTATCATTCCAATCATATTTTTGGATTTGCATATGCAGGGTGACTCAAAAAAATTAATGAAGGCGTGAATTTATTTTATCGATTTAATCAGGAATTAGAAAACCGAATGCTTTGAAATCTTGGGAATATTTTAAAGTTATTATAAGCATGGTAAACTTTTGTTCAAAATGTATTTGTTCATCCCTCCTAAAAAAATTGATGACGTCACCTTTAAATTTTGTTGAATAAATCCTATCTAAAATGCAAAAAATATGATGAGTTTGTACTTGTGATTTATCATTCCATTCATATTTTTTAGATTTTCTTAAGAGGTGGTTCAAAAAAATTAATGAAGTCAATTTATTTTATTGATTAAATTAAAGGCAACACTTATTATTAGTATTACACCCCAACCAACCCAATTTGGTAGACACAAAATTTGTTAAAGGAAAAACTCGGTTGAAACATAAGGGTAGCACGCTTATTTACATCGACTTTAACATTACAGACCTGCATTTGTTTTATGCGCTCACTTGGTTCCGCGAATGTGAAATAGACATGTTTATAATCAACCAATTGTGAATTTCACCGTCAAGAATTAAAATAAAACCCAATGTTTTATATAATAAGCGGAAGTCAAAGCAATAAAACCGATGGTCGTTTTGTTTACAGTTTCTCTGTTTGACTCTCACGTATGCTGTTACGCCTGTCATCTTAAATTAAGAATGTTTATACATACACGATTTTCAGTTGCCTCTGATACGTATACGTGAGTAAATTGTTTCGTTATTTTATTGATTATTACAAATCAATATTCAAAACGACCCAATTCATTTTCCCGAAAATTTGAGAATATAATAATTTTATTCTTAGTATTACACTACATCTATCCCAACTGATATACGTGTCCTTGCAAAAATGTTGATGACGTCATCGCAATTTTTTTTTAAATTCCCACTACAAAAATGTAA